GGGAAGGGAAGGAAAAAGGGAGATGAAGGGAAGGGAAGGGAAGGGAAGGGAAGGGAAGGGAAGGGAAGGGAAGGGAAGGGAAGGGAAGGGAAGGGAAGGGAAGGGAAGGGAAGGGAAGGGAAGGGAAGGGAAGGGAAGGGAAGGGAAGGGAAGGGAAGGGAAGGGAAGGGAAGGGAAGGGAAGAAGGGAAGGGAAGGGAAGGGAAGGGAAGGGAAGGGAAGGGAAGGGAAGGAAAAAGGGAGATGAAGGGAGGAGAGAAAGAGGAGAAGGGAAAAGAGAAGAGGGAAGAGGAGGGAGAAGAAGGGAGGAGAAGGGAGACAGAGGAGGGAAGAAAAAGAAAAGGGAGATGAAGGGAGAAGGGAGACAGAGGAAGGAAGAGAAGGGAGAGCAAGGGAGAAGGGAGAAAGGAAGGAAGGATGGAAGGGAGGAGAAGGGAGAAGGGAGATGAAGGGAGGAGAAGGGAGAAGGGAGGAGGAGGGATAAGAGAGGAGAGAAAGGGAGGAGAAGGGAAAAGGGAGGAGGAGAGAGGAGAAGGCAGGAGAAGGGAGACAGAGGAGGGAAGAGAAGGGAGATGAAGGGAGAAGGGAGAAAGGAAGGATGGATGGAAGGGAGGAGAAGGGAGATGAAGGGAGGAGGGAAGAGGAGGGAGGAGAAGGGAAGGAAGGATGGAAGGGAGATGAAAGGAGAAGGAAAGGAAGAATGGAATGGAGGAGAAGGGTGATGAAGGGAGACGAAGCAAGATGAAGGGAGAAGGGAAGGGAGGAGGAGGGAGAAGGGAAGGAAGAAGAGAGATGAAAGGAGACAAAGGGAGAAAAGGGAGAAGGGATATGAAGAGGGGAGAGGGAAGGGAGACAGAGGGAGATGGGAAGGGAGAAGGGAAGGAAGAGGAAGGGAGGGGAAGGGAGAAGGGGGAAGGGAAAGGGGAAGGGAGGGGGAGTCAAGGGGAAGGGGTAAGAGGTGAAGAGAAAGAGGAAAATAAAATACAAGAGGAAAGAGAAATAAATAATAAAGTTATTTGTTTCTCTCCAGGGTAGAAGAGCACAGGAATTATTTTTAGACCATAAAAAAAAATCCCATCCTTGCTCCTGCCATGGCCAGGTGACAGCTGGTAGGAGAGCCACTCATTTAAACAAGAAACAGCTTGGAGATCATCTACTGAATCATCCCGGTGGGCTTTAAGGGCCCTTCCAAACCATTCCAAGATCTAAAGCCCACCCACTCCCAACCCTCCTGCATGGGCAGGGACCCCTCCCACCAGCCCAGGCTGCTCCAAGCCCCATCCAACCTGCCCTTCAACACTGCCAGGGATGGAGGAACCACCTTGAAGATCATCTAGTGGATCATCCAGGTGGTCTCTAAGGTCCCTTCCAACCCAAATCATTCCATGAGCTAAAGACCATCCATTCCCACCATAGGCAGGGACACCTCCCAGAAGCCCCGGTGCTCCAAGCCCCATCCAACCTGCCCTTCAACACCCCCAGGGATGGGGCCTCCACCACCTCCTGGGTCAGCCTTTTCCACCACCAATAACCCCCCAACCTCATTCCAGTTTTAATCCATCCCCCCTTGATCCTCTCAGCTTCCTTCTCTCCCTTCCTTCTCTTGGCACAAAACAAGTGATGTTAAAACAACCTCCCCCCAAAAAATAACCCCCCCAATTCCTCAGCCTCTCACCTGGGATATTGTGTAGGCTAAACTGGGAGGTTCTTCTGCTCTGCTCTGGTTTGAATTTAGGCTCCTGGTCTCTTCTCTTCTGGACCAGGCACAGTCGATGTACCTGCCATCACACGCCAGGATCACACACCAGATCACAGGAGGCAAAATTAGCTTGGAAATCACCTCCCAGAACTTCCTGCACGAGCAAGAAGATCTGCAGATCCAGGAAGGCTGGGAGGTCAAGCTCAGGATGAACACAATGCAAGCTGGGCAGAAGAAGTAGGCAAACACATAGAAGTGCTTCAAGCCCTCCTGCCCAGGACATCTGAACTCCAGCTCCAAGATTTCTTCCACCACCACCAGGAACATGGAATAAAGTGACACAGACAACAGGTTGGAGTGACTTTTCCAGAACTGGAAGAATTTTTTCTTGGCCAGCATCTTGTTCCACGGTCAAGGCTTCAGCTCAAAGGTCTCACCAGAATCTTCTTCTCAAACCCTTTGATCACCGTGTGATTGAAGAGCAAAGAGAAAGTGAAAATTAAATAACGATGCAACAGGAAATCACGAGTCCATCTCCTCCCCCAGCAGATGT